TTAAAATGTTAAAAAAATCTTCCCGGGGGGGTACCCCGGACCCCCTAGAAGATGTGAAGTCCACCCCCCAATTAAAGCATGTTCAGGCAATACTGAATACATTTGAAGCCTTTTTATATAAGCTGTCCACCATATCAATACGTTTCTCTGTTTGTAGTGTATTGGTCTTTCGTAGAGGTTTTTCATTGCCAGCTAAAAACTTTTTACTAGGGCAGCAAATTGGTGAAAACCGGCCCTGGTGTCATCCCCACAGCACCCCCCATTTGAAACATGTTCCCACGGCTATGCCCCTCACATCAAAGGATCTCACACCTACGCGTGATATCACACCTAGGTGTGACATCCACCTCGAACAAAGGGAGGCGGGACTTAGCTCATTAGCATAATTGGGGGCGGGTCCACCTTTCTCTTCTTATGCATAATAATGTGATTGAAACAGGATTGGTAATACTACTTAGGTCAATATTTAGAAGTAGTAAATTAGTGTGAGCCAGAGTATGGAAATGAAGAGGAGCTCTGCAGTGAGTTTCTAAAGTAAACAGATGATTTGAATAGAACTTAAAGTTTGTCGTCACTCAGCTGCATGGTTGAGATGTGTTGTGTAATATGAAACCTGCAGGAGTTCTCGTCTGATATTTAGAAATATAGATGTAGCAATGCTTGTTGATGGCTTACATACACAATGCAACACAACACCACCAATAATCTGTCACAGTGTCTTGTGTCCACACCGGCTCACTGCCAGCTCATATTTGATGTGTCTGATCTAGTTGCCAGAAGGACATTACTTTTTTAACAATGGGGAAAACGTATTGGATATACGGGCCAGATTGTCAGGGTTAGGAGAAGAGCAGCATGGACCCAAATGCAGAAAGACCAAAGTTTCAACAGAAAAATACCTTTATTCAGACACAACACTTTTCAAAATAAAACCTGAAACGAGTGTGACAGATCATGACACAGAGCTGTGTTCATGTTGATGGTTTTTTCTCAGGACTCCAGCATGTTCTTATAGTGAAGATACTGGGATAAGATTGATGAAGAATTTATTCAGCTTAAGTCTTTCACTTTACAAACTTGGTGTCTGTGTATGCCTTGGGTATGTGGGGTGAACTGTTTGAAGTCCTTTCACAGCATAGCATCGGCCAGCCTGACCAGAGGCCTGTACTATGAAGCCAGATTTTCACTTAGCAAGGTAACTTCAGGGTAAACTCTGGGTTTCCGTTCCTACGACGCTGGTTCTCTTCTTACCGGGGTAGATCTCCATGGTAACTTATGCTGAATGGCAAACCTGCTCCCGAGCAGGTTGGGTTCCAGGATAAGAGATCAAGTCAGTGAAAGCACTGCCTGCTGACCAATCAGAGCTCAGTGTGCGGAGTTTAAAGCTATCAAGTCATATTACAGGATAAAGGAAATACAGAAAAACTGTGTGTGAACGTGAACATTAATAGAATATCACCTCCCATCTTCAGAGCAATCTGAATATTATAACATTCGCGTTGAGAAAGCTTCCTTAAATATCTGCCACAACATAAGTAACCGGATCAGAGTAACATTAAGTACAGTCCGCGGCACTGTGAGTGCAGACGTCGATGTGTCCCATTATCATTCACATCACATCATATCATAATGTATCATATATCCTTATCTGAGTCAGCTGAGCCGTAGCTGGCCGTGCAACACTCACAGTGTCACATACTGTATGCAGAAGTATTATTTTAAGCAACACATTAATTTGACGAAACACTCGAGTCAAATGTAATTAAAGTCAGATCGTGTCAGACGGGGCAGCAGTGATATCATAAACCTGTTAATGTACGCATTCAAACACTTTTTGTTTTACCAGCTGTATTCACCTTGCATGTGGCTTTTATCCTGGATAAAGTGTTTAAGTCATGGATGTTTAAAGTTTAACTTCTTCATATGTCTAATATTATAGTTGACTTTTCATTCAGGAAGTATGACGCTGTGCTGTCAGTAGGCTTCTCCATGTTTGTGATTGGCCGAATGTTGCTAACCCCGCCCCTTTCATGTGAACGCGCAAATAACTAGATAGGGCACACCGGGCTTGAGTTACCAAGTTGATAACCAGCGTCGTAGGACCGCTTAGCGAGAGCGCGTTTGTTTTGGATTAGGTAAGCCGGGTAACTCAAACACATCCAGGGTATATTGAACTGGATTCGTAGTACAGGCCTCTGGTGTACAAATCCAGCAGCTAACGTCTGCTAACTGTGTCTCTTTATTTCCACAATTGGCTACTTTATATACAAACATGTGTAGTGCTTTACACAATAAAATATTATTATTATTATTATTATAAACTGCTTTAATATACAGAAACTTGCCTGGATTTAATTGTATAATTTGTTTGTGTGTATGTGTGTGAATACCTAGCAGGAAGAGGAATTCTATCAACAGGAAGCCTCCTCTGTAGATCCTGATCATAGGCCAAACATCAGCCGTGCGGATCACCACAGCCCCTTGTGAGAGAAAAGCATATCACTTTACCAACCATGTGTAGAACTAGTTTTAAACATTCAAAAAACTGTTGTGACTATTTTTCCAAATATTATCTTTAGATAATGTCCCATTTTAAAGCAGGCCATGCTGTTTCCACATAGGGCTGGGGACCATCACCTTATAATATCAATATTGTGATATGAGACGAGATATTGTCTTAGATTTGAAAAATCGTTATATCAGAAATGTGGTCTATTCCTGGTTTCATGATAAATGACAGTAAACATGATATGAGAAATTCTCCTTATATAAACGTTTTGTTTGATTGTCATCACATCTCCCAGCCCTATTTCCACATATCATGCAAACGGTTTGAGGTTAGTTATTTACAAAAGCCATCAATTTGACTGTAACAAGTTGAGAGTAAAAAATAAAAACCCTTAACATATAAGTCATGAAAAACTAATATTCCTAAACCCCAGTGTGGTTATTTCCAAGGAAGGAAGGAGAGAGGAAATATGGAGGGAAGGAAGGAAAGAGGAGAGGAAAGGAAGGAAGGAGTGAAGGAAGAAAGGAAAGAGGAAAGATCGACGCAAGGAAGGAAGGCAAGAAGGAGGGAAGGACAGAAGGAAGGAAATAAGGAGGGGAGGAAAGAAGGAAGAAGGAAGAAGGGAATGAAGGGAGGGAGGGAGGGAGGAGGGAGGACTTGTGCTAGAGGAGTACCTGTAATGACCACTGTGACCATCAGCACCAGGAACACTCCACAGTACAGCCCCACTCTGAAGGTGGTCCAGGCAGGAGCCGGCTGAGGGGACACCACAACACTCTGAGCACATTTGACAGCATTATACATACATGTGATCATTAAATAACATCACTTTACAGGCATAATGCTGTCTATCAGTGGGGAGACCACTGCAGGTGTCCTCTTATCATATTGTATCATGATTATATACAGTACAATTGCAATGTAAATTGAGAGATGTAAAGGTTAGACTTCTATGTTTGTTTTTGGGTCAAATAAAAGAGAGAGTAGTTTTTTGTTAGAAAATCCATTCTGAAGTAGCATCAACATTCAAAAGGATTAGATCAAAAAATCTAACTGTAGATTGTGTCTAACTTTTGGGACAACAAATATCCATTTAAGGGTCACTGCTAAATGTTGCTTTATGTGACTAAAACAGGACAACAGGAGCATATGAATGCAGAGGATGACGAGTTAGTGAGCAGAACCTATGAGTTGATACTGTGTGTGTGTGTGTGTGTGTGTGTGTGTGTGTGTGTGTGTGTGTGTGTGTGTGTGTGTGTGTGTGTGTGTGTGTGTGTGTGTGTGTCAGACCTGTGCAGCTCCCAGGGGGGGGACCCTCAGTCTCTTCATGGCCCTCTGCCTGTCACCGCCTTCCAACTCTGTTGTGACCAATGCCTGAAACATAGAGAGGATGTTGATGTGTCCTAGCTCTCATGTCTTTTCTACATAAACATGTTGTGACGGCCGCACATTGATTCAAGTTGTTTCTTCTAAACTGTAATGGCAGGGGAAAAGGTTTAAGGCATGTTGTTTATCATGAAATGAAATGAACTATGACACATGTATATTATCCTCGCAACTGCAGTTGTTAATGTCCACTGTTATGTACGGTTTGAGGGTGTGGGTCTGCAAGCCTCATCTACATATTCACCTGTCGCGGCGCGCCCAGAGGCTTTTGAGTGGGCGCCTCACCGGGACGCCAGGGGTTGGTTCTCACGGGAGGAGGAAGCGTGTGTGTGGCGAATGCGGGTATTCAGCGGGATATTTAAGTTTCCTCAGCATGTATACATATGTTACAATGCAACGGGGAAGTAACTGAAAGTGGATATTGCATCGACCGACAAAGAAGCACGTCTCCATGGAGAGGACGCGCACAGATAGAGAGATTCTCTCCAACACAGGGTGAGATCGCTCCTTTGTGCCACGCCGATCATCGTGTTTTTCTTTCTGTGGATTATAGCCTGAATAGGCCTACAAACATTTCCGTTGTTTGCTGCCGACGGGCACAGGAGCAACAGCTTTTTTTCAATGAACTATAGTGGCCTGGATTAGGCAGTAAAGACCATTTCGGTTTATCGCCGAGCGGACTTTTTGTTGAGTTTTGTTTGTGTTTTGCTTGGCTGGAAAAATGTAAATATAATTGAATAACGTATAAACCTGTCTTTGTTTATTTTGTGAATGTGTGGATGGAGACAGTAGTACTGTAAATACACTTCCATGGGGATTCTTTTGTGGAAAGAGTAGATTGTCCGTTTATAAGTTCTGTTTTGCTTTTATAATATTATTTCATATCAAGCACAAAAGATTCTCTCTCTTTTTGTCCTGATCCATTTCTATAAAAACCTGTCTGAAAATGAGCTGATCAGATTTTGGAAACTTTATGATGTCATAACGATGTTTTGGCTTGTGTAACCATTAGCCAATCAGCAACCAAGGTAACCCCCCCTCCCCCCACCTGAATCTCCTCCTAGAGCACCATTGAGTTCTTTGTAACCAAATCTCTCTCAGAGGGGCGTGGGGAGGGGCTCNCTTAGCTCATTAGCATAATTGGGGGCGGGCCCACCTGTCACTTTGGATGCGATGTGATTGAAACAGTATCCTTATTACTACTCACAACAATAGACAAACTGTTTGTCTATTGTTGTGAGTAGTAATAAGGATACTGTTTCAATCACATCGCATCCAAAGTGACAGGTGGGCCCGCCCCCAATTATGCTAATGAGCTAAGTCCCGCCTCCCTTTCTTCGAGGTGGATGTCACACCTAGGTGTGAGATGCTTTGATGTGAGGGGTGAGGTGTCATCACCCGTAGGTGTGAAATGCCCCCCTGTGTAGCGCCTCTGTTGTCTAATCTTTTGATGTGAGGGTTGAGGTGTTATAACAGGTAGGTGTGATTTCACACCGGTGTGTTATAAGCCTTTGATGTTAATCTATGTGCTGATTAAGGCAGTCTCTTTGAAGTTGTTTGTGAGACTGTCTGGCCCCTGTCCCCTCAGAACCCTTTGTTGTCTAATCTAATTAGCCTTTGATGTCTGTCCTTTGATGTGTGTCCTTTGATGTGAGGGTTGAGGTGTTATAACAGGCAGGTGTGATTTCACACCGGCATGTTACAAGCCTCTGGTGTTAATATGGGTATTGATTGAGGCAGTCTCTTTGAAGTTGTGCGTGAGATTGTCTAGCCCCCGGCCTCTCCCCCTTTCCCCACCCCTTCCTGTCACACGATATGAGCCCCGAAGATAGTGGGGGTGGAGTTAGAAATACGCTCAGACTAAATAAACAGCCATTAATTTTCACTCACTAAGACACCTAAAAACGTTATTGTCCTCTCTAAATTTGATTTAGGATTTTTTTAAATGATTTGTGCTTGCTAAGGATGTTTCTTTTTAAGTTTTTGTGAGACTGTTAACTACAAGGAAGTCTCTGTTTGCAAAGAGGGTATTCATATTCATTTAAAAAGATCTTATTTAGGTTTTAATATGAATGGTGATAACTAAGGATGTTCTCTTTTAGTTGTAGGGCTTGTGAACTAGTGTGTAATTACTTTATTAACTATAAGAAAGTCTCTTTGAAGAGGGTAATACTAATTTAAAATATCCTATTGCCCCCATGATCTTGTCTTTTTTATTGTTTAATTACTTCACACAACTATAAGGAAGCCCAATATGAAGTTATGTGAGGTTGTATTGGGGTAATATTAGAATTTGCTGTATGCAAAAAAAAAGAGAAGTTTAAAAAAAAAAACGTTTTTCTGCTGTATTCAGACAAAGTATGCAGATCCAGTGTGGTTGATCAGAACAAAGAAAAGCTGTAAACACTTAAAATACATAGAATCAACAGTGTGAGGGTAAATTAAAATATTCATTTACAAACATACAAGGCTTTGTCTACTGAAGATCAATGCAAGGGCAGAGTTTCACTCTGTGGAGGGACAAAATAAGCATTGTTAATCACCTGGACAAAGGACTCTTTAAAGCAGAGATACCATATGCAGACACATACCTGAATATCAGCAGGAGAGGACTCTTTAAAGTAAATACATTATAAGGTTAACATTTCAGTGTTTTTTCTGTGTTTCTGTGGTTCTGTGTCTCTGTGTTTCAGTGTTTCTGTGTGTCTGTGTTTCAGTGTTTCTGTGTTTTGTCAGTGTTTCAGTGTTTCAGTGTTTTCAGTGTTTTCTGTGTTTCTGTGTTTCAGTGTTTCAGTGTTTTTCTGTGTTTTTGTGTTTCTGTGTTTCCGTGTTTCTGTGTTTCTGTGGGGGTATAATATGCACGTTTCAATACACATATATCATACATCTTCCCTGTTACCCTCCCCTTGTTATAATGAAGACAACAGTGCATGTGAAGGACTGTAATACACATGTATCAGACACGCTCCCCTTGCTATAATGAAGACAACCGTTTTTAAAATGTAAAAAACACTTTTTTTTATTTAAAAAAAAAAATGTCCTATTTACATTTTAATTTTTTCACACACAAAATCAATAGTTATACTGATTGTAACATCCCCAGGACCGTGTCCAGCTTAGAATTCCCCAGATTACTGGAAATATCATGATCACTTCAGTCAAAATATTCATGTGTATGCTGTTTTTGACACAAAGATGCATTACATCTACAAACAGAGCATACAATGAGAGCACATGATACACTTTTGATGTTTGTTTCATTTCTTTGGTAATGTTACAGAATGTTTCGGAAAATGAAGATTCCAGGACCACTTTAAATGTTTCGTTTACAATCGTTTCCCAATGACCAGGAATAGTACTGCCAGAACGAACGATATCCAAAATGTCTTCTAGTTTACAAACTTCAGCCATTCTGTTTACACGGGGATCACTATTCACTCTGTTTTCAATCGTCCTCATCACCACACTTATTAAAAGGGTATTGACTACATTCTGATCAATATATACCGAGCGTTTTGCATAGTAGTTCCCCATTTTATTTTACTTTAAAGAAAAAGTCAATGTATCGAAAAAGAAAAAATCCCTGTCTTCAATCAATCGCTGGTTATTAGTCTTCTTCTTCTCCATCCAACTCGAACTTC